CCGCGCAAGGCCACGCTGCAGCCGCTGTCGCCCAGTCTGCCTCCGGTCACCTACATGCACATCTACGAGACGCCTGGCTTTAGCCTCGGCGTGTTCCTGCTCAAGAGCGGCACGTCCATCCCACTGCACGACCACCCGGGCATGCATGGTATGCTCAAGGTGCTCTACGGCACAGTCCGCATCAGCTGCATGGACAAGCTGGAAGCCGGTGGTGGGCAGCGTTCGTGGTCCCCACCGCCCGAGCAGCAGTTCGACCCGCCGCTGCAGGCCCGTGAGCGGGAGGCCGTTCGGCCAGGCATCCTGCGCTCGCGGGCCGAGTACACTGAAGCCAGTGGCCCCTGTGTCCTCACGCCGCACCGGGACAACCTGCACCAGATCGACGCAGTGGACGGGCCGGCTGCCTTCCTGGACATCTTAGCCCCGCCCTACGACCCGGATGACGGTCGGGACTGCCACTATTACCGGGTGGTGGAGTCTGTCAGGCCCAAAGAGGCCTCCGGCTCTGCCTGTGACCTGCCCCGAGAGGTGTGGCTTCTGGAGACGCCGCAGGCCGATGACTTCTGGTGCGAAGGAGAGCCCTATCCAGGTCCCAAGGTCTTCCCTTGAAGCTACAGGCCCTCGAAGTGGGCCAAAGACGTGCCCTATCCTGATCATCCTGATTGGGGCCTGGCAGCGCGGTACCCACCCACCACAAGGGCTCTCTCGCGCCCCCTCTCACTCTGACCCCTCGCCTGAGTGTTGGATCTACTGGAGTGACCCGCAGCCACGTACTGGCAGTCTGGGAAAGCACAGGCTACTGGACAGCAGCCATCTGGCACGGTTTACGGTGGCTGGATGGGCGGGAGGTTAGGTTGTTACCTGGTATTTTCACTGCCACCAGGGCTTTGATTTGGGGGAGTGGGTCAGGGAACTCAGAAGCGCTTCCATTCTAAAGCCATAATGAGAATATTCTTCCTCTGTTCCCCATTCTATACAAAATATACTAAATGGTTTTTTTTTTTTACTCCAGCCCCACTTGATAAATAGGCTTTGTTTTCCACTCTTGCCCTTAGGAACTTTTGCTCTTCACAATTAACTTACTGGCTGCCGGACCATGTGGTTTGAATTTTTTTTGTTGTTGTTGTTGTAGTTATTGGTTAAAACTACATTTTCAAGAGATGCACAATTTAGCCTCCCTTTGAAAATTAAATCATCTTTTCAGAGTTCTGGGATCGTCCTCAAAACGTAACTATGCATATGGAGGACAAGATTTATTTTCTTTCCTCCCTTTGCTCAGTAGCCACATCGGGTTTACTCAGGCAGCCTCTACTAAAAAATTCAGCCCCTGCCTATCTCTGTGAGAGCTGATTCCTGAGAGCTTTATCTCCCCACACCCCTTGAATCTCCAGATCTGTTGAGCAGATTTTTTTGTTGCAGATTCACCTTTCATGCAACGACTATATTATCCTCAAGTGACTTTTTTCATGTCCTAATATACTTTTAAGAGATGATAGGGTAATTCTGTATTTTCTGATCAGAATCAGAGGAGCTCAATCTGTTATGCTTCCAAACATCTGAATGTAAAACACTCCTAGCCAACTGTTGAATTCCAATATCTTCCTATAAAAAGAGGAAAATACTGTGGTAGTGACTGTTTCACGTTCTCCCAGGAATATCAGTGTTCCAGAGGGCTGTGATTCCTGTTGTGTTCTGGTGGTGTTATCTCATCCCTCTCCTTCAAATGGCAGAGCGAGCACTTGTTTCCTCTGATGTGTTTTTGTAGGAAGAGGTAGAAGACATAGATGATCTAGGCTGGAGAATTGGGAATTAACTATACTTCTAGCCATTTTAGGGCACCAGAACTTGGGACTAAACACTTCCCATTCCCAGCTCCTGAAATAACAGTTATCTGTTAGATTTATGTTTGTCCTTTTAATAGGCTGAGCAACTTTACCTTGTTTACAAATGTATTGGCACCATTTGCTTCGGGCCATGGAGCACTTTCCCTTTTTTTACTATTTATAGGATTCTGTTTTTTTCACGAAGTTTTTCATAAAAACAAACTGTAGAAATAGACATATTGAGATGCCCAGCTATTGTGTAAGCCCTTTCAATTGTCTTGCCCATGTGGCAATCGACTTCTGTCTGTAATAAAGGGAAATTTACTACTATTGATGGAAAGTATCAGCTGCCCTTGAGAGAAGCTATGTGACTTACCTCTTTACACTAGGTTACAGCAACCCAGGTTAAAGGAGTATTTGTCCCAGTTCTTAAAATAATAGGGAAAAGCAAGTTCTTGATGTTTTCTTTTTAACAAGAAACGCTCATTCAATTTGACATGCCACTAAAAACCTGTTGTAAAACCTGACAGGCATAATACCAAGCATTTCCTCCAGGGTTACAAAAATTGTTATTGTAGCTTCACATTGTGGTGTGATTTCAAATGCCTTGGGGGCAGTATGAACTAGCTCCTCCGTGCTACTCAGTTTGAAAATAAATTCTAGATATGCAAATAATGATTTTTCTTAGGAAATTTCATAAAATGTGTTTTTATAGCACGGTAATGAATGTGTGTAGCTATCATCGGATGGTCACATACTTTTTAAAATTGTAGCAAAAAGTTAATTTACAAAGACTTTGATAGTAATATGTGTGTTACAGTATAATCTGGAGTGTGTTTAACCCTATAAAAACATCCTGGAAATATGTCAGTAATGAAGGAAAAATTATGAAAGACTTTACTATCAAAAGAAAAGTAAAAGTTCTCAGTTATAAACAATTTGGAAGAAAAAAATCGAGGTGCTTTTTAAAAGACTTAACTGAAGTTGTTCAGGCCAAATAGCAATATGATGTCTTTCTAATTTAGTTTAGTAAGAACAGTGAAATTTTGGTTCACTAATAAACTGAGTAAATTAACGAGGAAAACAAAATGTAACTTGTTTTAATGAACCAGTACAGAAAGAACACGCTCATTAAAAAGACAAAAAGTGGTACAGAGACAGCCTTGCACCTCTATGCATAAAGTGTTAGTCATTACTGACTTTTTGTGCTGCTAGTTTCCATATAATCCTGCAATATGGATTATGTTTTAATAATAACTGTGGGATAAAAGTTACCTTCCCATAGGAAAGACTAATGAGCACAATGGTATTAATCACTTCAATTTTTTGTTGAATAATAAATGCAATAATTGCCTCATGTGGATGAGAAATTGTCTGTGTAAATACTTCTGAAGCTTTTAAATTCTCTAGTTATACCGATGGCCAGTTATATTAATGCAGAATATTGTGTACCTGCTTACTACTTTCAGAACTGATTTTTATTAAGCCTTCTATTTATTAATGAAGATGGTTATAGTACATGTTTTTAGCAACAGATGTTCTTTGAGCCATTACTGTAAATAGCTCTTAGCTTCTCCCAAAATGTGTATCTTTTATTCCCCTCACCCCACTCCCGTTGTCTCCTTGTAGGTGCTTTAATCTTGGTGTCTAAGGATTGTCATCATTCTGATTCTGAATCCTATGCTTCAAAATAAGCAATATATTGTTTTGTTGTTGTTTTGGTACTGGGATTGAACTGGGGACCTTGCACTTGCGTTGGCACTACTGAGCTAAATCGCTGGCCCTGAAGCAATATATTGTTAATCATCTGCCTGTTGTTATTCAGCCCTACCCTGAAAACAGTGCTACTCCTGTAACTGTAGGTCTAAATTTGGAACTTTGGATCATACACAAGCTGACCCTGGTTGTCTCCAGTGCACTGAGACATCTTCTGTCAAAGAAGGAAACCATTTGTTAATAATACTGAATCTTGTAATTCAGTGATGCCTACATTTACAGATGAAATGAGTATACTTAGGAATGCTTAAAATTGTTTAGAGGTAAATCTTGATTATTGCAAAATGAGGAAGGAAAATTTCCTACATTATATTCATTTTGATTACTGCTAAAGGTTCACAGCCTGTACTGTTGTACTAAAAGCTGTCGGCCTTTTAAAGATTATTAAAGTCCAAGTAATAGTATAAATTTAACATTAGTTTATTTCCTTGAGAGTGATCTTTGAAACTGAATGAAAATATCTGAAACTTTGATGTCTAGTCATACTATTTTGCTCTAAAGAAAAAAACCTTTTATATTTAACCTAAAGAAAATAGTACAAGAAAACAATTACTTTCATCCTAAAGGAGAGAATCTTATGACTTATTTTCTTCCTTTGGTTTTTCCTTTTCCTGTAGAATTTGTATAGTTGTAGTCTGGACTGGCAACGTCTTGGGAACCTGTGTTGATGTTGAACATCACTCCGCCGCTACACACACACTTGATACAATACAGTACAAATTGTATTGAACTGTCACAAGTTACTGCAGCAGTTTTTAATATATAAAACAATTTGCCTTTATCTCATTAGCGGTTAGACTATTAAAATTAAATGGTCTGCTTTATGAGTACTTGAGAACCTTATTTAGGTTTAATCAACCTGTTTATAACCAGAATTGAGCCATCTCAAAAGTATTAGGAACCTGTAAAGAATTACTCTCCAGAAGTTACTTTTTAATAAAAAATAATAGCTGAAATATCAGTAATACTATTCCATAAAGTGTACATAAGAGATTAGGAGATTTATCATTCTATGCTTTATTTCTTGAGCACAGTAAAAAATGAGATGCCTGTGGAAAGTGCCCTGAAATTGTTAGAAGAAAATCTAAAGATACGAACTTCACATGTTGAAATGTAGGAGTAGAAGCTATGAGGTTGGCCCTGAGGAAACACTGTTGTGAGGTATTCCCTATGGTGTATATAGTACCACTACTTCAAGGAGGATGTCAAGGTAAAAGTGAGTATGTGACCAATTTGCTTATCATCAAAATGTCTTTGGTCCTATTTTTTTATTTTTTAAATCATTTTATTTCTTGCTTTGTAAACAATGGTTTAGATTAGGATGAAGGTGGTCTAAAATTAAAATTTGGCAAGATGATTACATATTGTACAAAACTTGGTAAACTACATTTTAATATGAAATCTTGTAAGAAAGATTTGTTAAAAACATGTAATTATCCAAATTGGCATTCTCTTATTCTTGTCAAAATTGGATAAGCAAGGATGATGAGAAATGTGAGTCTAATGGGAAATCACCAGTCGTGCAAAACTGACACTCAAATTTTGAAATCCCTGTTTAGCAGTTCTGAAGACAGGTATTCTATATCCTTGAAACAGCAATGGAAGGACATAAAGAAAAGGATTAACTACCTCCATAAATTCCATAATTTCAAATTCCAGTGCTGTTAAAGGGAAAGGTAGTTTCTAGGAATAGCCTCTGACCACCTGCTATCCTGAAGTACAGACTATCAAAAGCCAGGTCTGAGGGAGTCTTAGCAGCAGAAGGGATCTTCACATGTAACTGAACAGTGAATGCTCCAACATGTTACACTTGTGTAATAAGCAGTGAGTGAACTTAAATGATACATAGACCCAGATTTTAGAGTAAAGATGATTACTTCATGAAGACATCATCTGTTTGCATTACATCATAGGTGGGTAAATATAACGTCTTTTTGATAAACTTGTGTTTTAAAATTACTACAGAATTCTTCCCATAACATTAACCTTATTATAGTATTTTCCTTTGCAAAACATTATCCAGTCTCCTGGAGGACTGTATTTGCCTAATTCAAATTGCCTTTGAGATTTTCATAAGGCTAGTTGACACCTAGCTTATTTCACAAGCTGGGTATTTGTTAGTCACTTCTAAACCCACCAGACCTATAGCAGGTAAATGATCCTTCTGTAGAAGAGTACAGTTGGGAAGTGAAGGCTGAAAAGAAATGAATCTTGGGGTAATTCCTTCGGAAACCCATTAATGCAGTGTCTCAGAGCATTTTTTGATCTGAAGGGGTGATAGTGCTTTCAAAAAGTTTTCTGTAGTCATGAAACTAATCCTGGAACCTGAAAGTCATTTCCAGCTTGACCACGCCACCACACTTTCCACAAAGCCACATCTTGCCTGAGTTCCAGGGCCTGGTCAGAGTTCTGAAAGCAGTTACAAATGTGTACTCTCCGAGTGGGCACTTGTTTGTAAGTATTTATTTTCCGGAGCCCACTCAAGAACAGAGAGAAGTTATAGGCTGTTCTAGAGGACGGAACAATGAGTCAAAACAACGCCTCCCCACTTTTACACTAACGCAAGGGGGAAATCCCCAGAATGCTAGCATTTGATTATGAATGGAGATTACTTTGGAGTGGCAGATTTGCCACAGGCTGACAAAAAAAACTTGGAGGTCCTGTCTTGGTCGAAGCATTTTAACCCACTGATACTCAGTGGTGTTTTTTAATAGTTCCACTCGTGTTGACTGACTGACTGTGTAATTCCTATCAAGTATTTCACAAATGACTTTTACAGCAAATATAGTGATGAAAAGTATTTATTTACACTATTGTCATAAGCCATCCATTATTTGAACTTTAGTTAGTGGTATTTGTGTTAGATCATTTATTTTCCACAACTATTAAGAGCTAATAACCAAACAAATTGGCTCTGGTAACATTATTTACATTCTCATCTGAAATTTGACTACAAAGGTAACACTTTTAAGTCACAAAACAGAGCATACAAAAATATACTTTCTAAAAAAAAATTCCAAATATTAATAGGCAGAAATATACAGCCATACTTAACCCAGGGAGTGAATTTTTTTTTTCCATAGTAAGGCAACCCATTTACATGCAGACCCTGTAACATTGTCTACATCACACAAGGCACCAAGGACACTTCCAACACAATTGCATGCATCCTAGTTTTAGAGAATATATGTACATCCCTCTTTAAATAAGTTAATCTCTGACTCATTTCAAGAGATCATAAATCTACATTTTTTTCCCAAAGGTTCAGAACTTGGAGAACAGTGCACATCAAAAATACACAAAATCTGAGTGGATATACGCTGAAAAAATAGTCTACATTTTCAACTCAAACAGGAGCAGATATTGCTATGTCCCTCCCATCACATTGCACTTCTGTTCTCTGAGTTTATAATACATATTGCTTAAAGGGTTGAGATGACTAGATAAGCTTTGATTGGCTGTTCTATGGCCACCAAATGCAGCACAAAGGCCATGTTTTGCTCACTGTACAGCATCCCCCAAATCAGTCCCAAGCCATAAAGTGCACATCAGTTTTGCTTGTCTTCTTGCTGTCCCCATTTGAAGAGATCAGCATCTCTCAACCTACTGTAGAAAAAGTCTCAGATCAACTGTGACATCCAGGATCAAAAACCTGTCATGGGTCAAAATAAATGGAAGGGAGACAAAACCCTTCTAGTCAAAGAACCCTTTAAAAGCAGAGTTGGACCTCAGCCCTCAAGGCCAGGGGTCCACACCCAACCCCGTTCTGAGCCTCCCCATTGCCTTGGGGTGATAAGTCAACTAGAGACACTAAGATAGGCTGTTTTAGGAAGGACTCACTTCTAAGAGGAAGGAGGAGCAGGGCTGAGCTCCACTGAAGCCCTTTGCCCAACAAAAGAAGGGAGGAGCAGGGAAAGGTGGTAGTGTTTGTCGTGCAGCTGGAATGGACAAAGGGCCTCCAGGGCCTGGAGGAACTGATGTTGTCAGCTTCAGTCTCAAGGTGTCCGGGTCCGAGAAGAACAAGGGGCCAGTGGCCCTCCACCAATAGTGCTGTTGCTGCTGCACAGACTGCCCCCAGCCTGTGAGCCCCCAGTGCAGGAGGCAGTGGAGGGGACTGGCACTGATGAGGAGGGGGCACTGCTTTTCCGTTCTTTCTGTCTCAGGTGTATCTTGGTGTGGCGCTTCCTTTCATCACTCCGGGCAAACTTGCGGCCACAGTAGTCACAGGCAAAGGGCTTCTCACCCGTATGGGTGCGAATGTGAGTAGTGAGGTGGTCGCTTCGGCTGAAGTTTCGCATGCAAATCCGACACTGGAAGGGCTTATGCCCTGTATGGATCCTGATGTGCCTTGTCAACTCGTCAGAACGGGAGAACCGCCTGTCACAGCCTTCTGCTGGGCATGGGTAAGGCCTCTCATGCACTGGCGTCTTGCTTGGTCTGTTAGGGTACTTGCGAGGCCTCAGGATGGGCCGCAGTGGCAGGTGATGTGGGTTATAGGTAGCAGCAGCGGCTGCTGCAGAGCTGCTGCCAGGCAGCCGAGGTCCCTCATTGCCTCCAGTGGCCCCTGGTCCTGTGACCCCAGCACTGGGTCCCCCCAGGGTAAAGTTACGGATGGTAGAGAGTGGAGTGAGTGGAGGGGGAACCCGCAGGGAGTCCAGGGGACAAGGAAAGGGCTTGCGATCTGGGCCAGCTGTACCATGTAGGTCTCTCTGGCACTGAGGTGGGAAAAATCCTGGATAGTCTGGAATCATGGGGAAGAGACCTGGGTCCGTGGCTGGCTTTGGAGATGGGTAGGAAGGAGGCGGTGGGTAGACCAAAGAAGAAGAAGTGGAGGTGGTAGCAGCGGACAAGAACGCCGAGGGGTCCTGGTAGAGATCTCCTGCACAGCCAGAATAAGGAGGAGGAGGTGGTGGCGGAGAGTAGAGGTGGTCCAGGTCAGGCTGGTTCTGGGACATGGTGCACACACCCAGGGGTCCTGTGGCCAATGGGTTGGGGGAGGCCGAGGTGACGCTGGACGAGGCTGTGGTCGAAGCTGGGGAAGTGACCCCTTGCAGGATGCCTGCACTCACAATATTGATGATGCCTTCTGGATAGCAGCTGGCGCCAGGGTACTGGGGGTCAATGGAGAACTTGCCCATGTAAGTGAAGGTCTGGTTTCTGGGTGTAGAGACAGGAGCAAAGCTGCTAGGATATGGGAGATCCAAGGACCTCTTCTCTCCAGTCATGTCAATGTTGATCATGCCATCTGGGGAGGGAAAGGGCAGAATGGAGGTGAAGAATGAAAACACAGCCACACACCTCGCTCACTCCCTCTCTTATGGGTCCATTTCCAAGACCCTGGACTGAGGCCTACAGGCCGAAAAGGCTAGCCCAAGTTTAGGACTCAAGAACTACCTCCAGGAAATCAAGATGAGATCCTTCCAACACCCTCCCAAGCCACATGTGGCTCTAGTCCCCAGTAAAAACACTCAATAATAGCAAAAATGATATTAAAATTTTCCCTTCTGCCTGGAATTTCTGTTTTGCTTGAGGGACCCATGGCTGGGGAAACAGGACAGGCACCACTCAAGAACCGATCTATCCCAGCCATTGCCGAGAATGTGCCAATCCCAGAGGGGAACCCGAAAAGTGGGAAGCAGGATTTTCCAGCCACCCCCACCCCTTCCCTGGTGCCTTCCCTCCCTCATCCTCGATCTGCGCTTTGGAGGGCAGCGGCTGGAAGGAAAGGGGTTTTCTGTTCGTGAAGGAGCCTACAGGTATCTCTTCCATCCCAACATCCTCAGCCTTGTCCGACACCCGCGCGTCTCCGCCCCGCCCAAGGCCAGTGGCTGGGCTTCGAGGAAGGCGCGGGGGCTGCTGGCGACGACTTTCTACAGCATCGCCAAGGAAACCCGCGGCGCCGGTGCCCCCGCGGGCCTCCCTCGTTAGTCCGGGGGCCGCTTCCCGCTGCTGCCCCCCCCTCCTCTACCACCTCCTTGCCTGCGCGGGCCCGAGCCCCCGCTCGGTAACCCCCTTCACTTCACAGGCTGCATGCAGGTGGGGGCGCGTCTCCAGGTCGCAGGAGGAGCGCTCTCCAAGATTTTCCCCTAGGAGGCTTTGCTCCGGTGGGAGCTGCGGACGCATTTTTTCTGGAGCTTCTCTTACGGCTCGGCTTTCCAGTCGCGCAGCTCTCCCTGGGAGCCCTGAACTTTACAGTCACTTTGTCCCTACCCCAGGAGAGGAGAGGTCCAAAAGGAGCAGCGCAAGGGCCTGCGCAAGCCCGAAGTCCGGAGGGGCGCCTCTTCGATCCGCCTATGCGCGCCCGCCGGAGACTGGGCGCGCCAGGGCGCACGCCTGACGGTAATCTGGCTACCTGGCCTCTGCGCCCCGACCCGGTTCTCGGCGGCCCCTCCTGCACTCACTTCCAGTCTTTACAGCGAGTGCAGTCAGCACCGTCCCCTCCGAACCCAAGTCCTCTCCAAATCCCGCGCACCCACCGCTCCCCACCCACCACATCCCAGCCGTATGAGTCCTGCGAAGAGGACACGCGTCTTACCTCCGGCCACTCCGTTCATCTGGTCAAAGGGGCCTCCCAGTTCGGCATTAGGGAAGATGGTCACCGACGTGGGGGCGAGGTCCTCCACCGGGTAGATGTTGTCAGACAGCTGGTGCACAAAACCACTGAGAGTTACTGGGATTTTGTCTACGGCCTTGGCGGTCATCATTTGCTCCTCGCACAACCTGGAGACCCAACTCCCTCGCTACCTGGAGTGTCAGAGAAGCCGTTTTGGAGAGGGATAGGACTGAGCCTGGATTGGTATCTCCTTTTGCCCTCCACACTTAGAAACAACCACCACTAAAAAGAAAAGAAAAATATCCAACAGAAATAAAACTAGCAAACAAGTTGCTGTATTTTTTTTTAAGAAAGAAGAAAAACGGCTGTTTGCCACTGACTCTCTCCTGTCCGTGTTCCGGCTGTTGGAAAGCCAGGAATTGCTGGTGTAGTGTTATTATAACAGTCAGTGTGTCCCCTCGCCGAGCTATTAATCAATTGCTGCTCTCTCGGTTAGACGGAAAGTGTTGCTCTAAGTATTTATGGGCAGGTCTTCAATGCCGTGACGTCGCTGCCCATATATGGACTGAGGAACAGGGCTGGGCCAGGCGGCTTTTGCCGTCACATGGCCGATTTGCATACGGATTCAGTCGCTCAGGCTCTATGGGGCTCGAGACTACCGGTTCGCAGCCGGCTGCAACCCGCGGGGGCCCGGTTGCGTGGCCTGAACCGCAGCCTGGGTGCGGGGCGCAGGGCTCGGCGGGAAGGGGCACGCCGCGGACGATCCGGCTGCGGCCACTGCGGGAAAGCGAGCGGGTGGGGACTCAACCTCTCCGGGCGGGGAGGAATTCCGGTTCTCCCGGACTTTCCAAAAAAGGAGAAGATCCGGTGCCGCCGGCTCCGCCTCCCCGGCCCTTGTTTGAGCAAGGGCCTGCGCAAGCCCGAAGTCCGGAGGGGCGCCTCTTCGATCCGCCTATGCGCGCCCGCCGGAGACTGGGCGCGCCAGGGCGCACGCCTGACGGTAATCTGGCTACCTGGCCTCTGCGCCCCGACCCGGTTCTCGGCGGCCCCTCCTGCACTCACTTCCAGTCTTTACAGCGAGTGCAGTCAGCACCGTCCCCTCCGAACCCAAGTCCTCTCCAAATCCCGCGCACCCACCGCTCCCCACCCACCACATCCCAGCCGTATGAGTCCTGCGAAGAGGACACGCGTCTTACCTCCGGCCACTCCGTTCATCTGGTCAAAGGGGCCTCCCAGTTCGGCATTAGGGAAGATGGTCACCGACGTGGGGGCGAGGTCCTCCACCGGGTAGATGTTGTCAGACAGCTGGTGCACAAAACCACTGAGAGTTACTGGGATTTTGTCTACGGCCTTGGCGGTCATCATTTGCTCCTCGCACAACCTGGAGACCCAACTCCCTCGCTACCTGGAGTGTCAGAGAAGCCGTTTTGGAGAGGGATAGGACTGAGCCTGGATTGGTATCTCCTTTTGCCCTCCACACTTAGAAACAACCACCACTAAAAAGAAAAGAAAAATATCCAACAGAAATAAAACTAGCAAACAAGTTGCTGTATTTTTTTTTAAGAAAGAAGAAAAACGGCTGTTTGCCACTGACTCTCTCCTGTCCGTGTTCCGGCTGTTGGAAAGCCAGGAATTGCTGGTGTAGTGTTATTATAACAGTCAGTGTGTCCCCTCGCCGAGCTATTAATCAATTGCTGCTCTCTCGGTTAGACGGAAAGTGTTGCTCTAAGTATTTATGGGCAGGTCTTCAATGCCGTGACGTCGCTGCCCATATATGGACTGAGGAACAGGGCTGGGCCAGGCGGCTTTTGCCGTCACATGGCCGATTTGCATACGGATTCAGTCGCTCAGGCTCTATGGGGCTCGAGACTACCGGTTCGCAGCCGGCTGCAACCCGCGGGGGCCCGGTTGCGTGGCCTGAACCGCAGCCTGGGTGCGGGGCGCAGGGCTCGGCGGGAAGGGGCACGCCGCGGACGATCCGGCTGCGGCCACTGCGGGAAAGCGAGCGGGTGGGGACTCAACCTCTCCGGGCGGGGAGGAATTCCGGTTCTCCCGGACTTTCCAAAAAAGGAGAAGATCCGGTGCCGCCGGCTCCGCCTCCCCGGCCCTTGTTTGGGAGCCATTCCGGAAAATTAAACTTCGGAAAGAAACCGAGCCTAGCCGAGACACTACAGTCAAACCCCTACTCACTTTCTTGGCAGCTCAAAACCGCAAGCAAAAGCAGGCAGAGAAAGAGAGAGAGAGAGAAAAAAAAGCTACATGCATTCACGGAAGCTGACTGCTTTTTTCTGAATTACTTGGTGGAAAGAAGTGGCTGGTGATAAGAGTGAATGCGGTATTGCTTTTTTGGAAAGTCTGTTCTATTTATACAGGAGCGAAAACGGAACAGGTTTGGGTTGTTTGTTTATTTAAGTATTTTGGGCTTCTTAAGGCTGGGGGTAGAGCCTAGGGGGAGCAGAATAACTGCAGGAGCTTCAAAAGAAATCCTCAGCCCTCGGAGACACCCTATTCCTCTGCCCGCGCGCTCCCCGCCCCCCTTCAGCTGCTGAGCGCAGCGGGGGCCCTTCCCGGCGCGTCTGGGACACACCTCACGCTACACACCTCTCTGTTGACAGAGCGCGCCAGTGCGCCCGCCCGGCTAGGAGGGTCTCCTAACCACCACCCCGCCCCACGTCAGAGCCGATGTCCTAGCTCGCTAGACGGGATGCTCTGCGAGGACACTGTCCTCACCGTCACTGCCTCTCCAAGCCGCCACGATTAGTATCCGCTGATCCCAACTCTGGGGGCGCACCCTGCCCGCACTGAAGCCCAGCTTCAGAATACGCACTAGGAGAAAAAAACCTTTCTCCCCCTCGCCAAGAGCACCTAGACAACCTCAGTACGGTGCAGAGTGGCAGCAAATGTCCCCAAATGTGCCAGTTTCGAGACGTTATCACTCTACAGACGTTCCCTTTAAGTTTAGTTCTCACAGCAATTTTTAAAAACTTTTCAGAGTCTAGCTATTCCCGCCCCTGGGTGGCTCGCTGGACTCCCAGCCTGCACCTTGAGCGCTCCGGGAGGCTGGTCCCGGGATTCCCAAGCCCAGTGAGCCGGTGCCCGCCTGGCCAGGGGCCATCTGTACAGGCTACGGAAGACTCTCGCCCTTTCCCTCCCCAAAGTGGTGGGAGCCCGAGACACAGTGTGTGGAGCTCTTCCCTTTCCTGACCTGACCCCTGACAGCCCCAGCATGGAGGAGACCCAGGCGGGCAGGAGCCACGGCGCCACGCCGTGGAGGGAGCGCGGAGCTGCAGGCGCTCTCCCGCCTCTCACTTGCTGCGGCGGCCGCCCCAACTGGCCAACGACTCTCGCCTGGACTCGAGCACCAAGATCAGGGACCTAGGGCAGCCAGGAGTCCCCCTGCTCCTGTACTCAGCCCCGCTACTTCCCTCACCCGCCTCAAAAGGTGGTCTCAACTCCCTTTCCAACGCCGAGAGCAAATTTGTGAAAGTTTCTGGTTCAATGCTGTGCACGCTTTTCCAACTGGGGGGAGGGCAGTTAAAAGGGCAAAGGAAAGAAATCCCAGCAAGATTAGCACCAACTTTGTACGTATCTCACATCCAGCAAAAACGTGCCAAGTCCCCTCTCTAAGCAAAAGAAGAAAAACAAATCTACGCTCTTACCACGTGAGGCAGCCCGCTCCGCCTGCGCTCCGGCCGGTCCCGGGGGCCCCGCGCTGACCACGGGCAAGACGACGCCTCGGAGGGGAGCCCGACTCTCATCTCCAGCCTGAGTCCAAAAGAAGGGGGGGCAAATTATGCAAATACGGATCACAGCGGTGAGGCTCGGGTTACGGCCCCCCGCCTGTCCCAGAGGTTAGGCACCCACCGGCTGCAGGCGCGGGCAGAGCAACTGCTTGCGCCTCGCTCC